GGGAAGGAAGTTCGCTTCGACGGTGAGGCTTGGTTGGCTGTGCAGCTGGACGCCGAGGAGGGAGTGAAGGAAACTGTTGTTGATACTGATTTTGGGAAACCTGGTGCAACACTTGCTACTAGTGAAACTGGAGTTGCTAGAACTATTGCATCTGAGCCTGCATGGCTCGCATGCACTGCATCAGATCCTCAAGCTGACCTTGGCTGGCCATCGGAGGGGGAACGGTGGGTTCAGCGAAGGTTGTTCCGACTGTAGAGGAGTGGAACAGTCACGGGTGCCACTGTCTGAGGCACATTCAGACTGGGGACTCCGTCCACGGAGAGGGGGACAATAAACTGTCTAATGCAAACAGTGGGAAACTAGGGTTGTTCCTCAGGGATGTTTCGGCATCTGGCGTTGCTGGAGAAAGCCATGGGTGTCAGTGATGCTAATGAGTTCTTTGGGGAAAGTTGCACAGAATTTAGAGGAAGGCCTTTTAAAGTGATTCCCACAAACGGCACCAAATGATGCAGCACAATCTGGGCACTCCTAGCTGGTTGAAACCTTGCTCCTAGCTATGACAGACGGCACCTGAAACAGAGAGGAACGTGAAGGAAAACCCCTAGAAGACGGCCCTTTGCTTCGCGAGGGCCGGGGTCCTTTTATACCGGAGCTCAGTCACATCAGGCGTAACCGCCACTGCCTTAGTCGTTACTGCCAAGGCTGAGGTGGCGGGTGCAGGCTGCTACTGCAGGGTACGGACTCGTCAGGCGTGCCATGCTTTTCAGAGATGGCAGGCATGACGTCGCCTGGCGAGAGACGTGGGCGCTGCCACCAGATCCGGCAGGTACGGATGTCAAGCAGATCTTCCCTGCAGGTTACTGAGCTTGCACCGAACCTCCTGGGGCTGAGTTACCTTGCACCGAGGTGCCGAGGTACGCCGAGGTGCTCACACTAGGGGCGAGCCTTAAGCAAGTATGAACAGGTGTGTCGACGGTGCTGTCCCAAGGTGTTTCTCCCTCGGGACACTTAGCCAAAAGTCGGGGTGCTCCCTGCTTAGGGAGGGAGAGCTCGAAATCCCTTAGAAGGAGTTCGGGACTCAAGGGGAGCTCGGGTCCCTTTGCCGGAGGGAGCTCGGGGCACTCCACCCTTAGGGATCGGGGTGAGCTGGGCCTTGCTTCCCAACGAGTTGCCACACCTGCTGAGTCATTCGGCCGGGCTTCGACGAGCTTGTTATGCCAAGTTGTGGCCAGGCTGTCGTGCTGAGTTGCCACTTATGCCAGGTCATGTCCACGTGTCCCCGTGCTACGAGGTCGGGCCAAATCACCCTACATCAACTAGCATCCAAACAACATAAACACATAATCAACGGATTCGCATTTTTTGGGTCTTAGAATCAGCAAAAAAGGATTCCCCTGGTGAAATTCCATTTCCACTTACATAGGATAGTCCAACACAGCCTAAATACATACCAACTGGAATTGAGAGAAAAATACAAAGATTTCACCACAGATCTTTCTGTTTAATTTATTGAATGTCCTTGCCTACCAAGATAAAATAGATAGATGGTCCATGTTTTAGACAAAATGAAAACACTTTTAAATTTATTAGTTAATTTCTATAGAAGGATGAGATAAATTTTGAAGTGAAGGCCATTACTTGAGAGGGGTGAACTGGGTAAGGTCCTAAACTTTGGCATTTTTTAGTACAAAGTGGTCACTCTCAGATTGGGACCCGCATTCTGACGCATGTCAGCCTGAGATTTTGCCATTACACGAAGTAATGGCCCTTGAGAAAATAGCATGCATGTGTTCCAGCAGTATCTTTATCATCTTTTTTCTATTGCTCGTACCCATGCACAACCAGAATACCATGGAGTAGTAATATCTTGCATTTTCAGGTTTTAGTTCACCATTTTTAGCCAAAAAATCTTGAGAAGTTCAACAATTTGTTAAATACATAAAATCATTCCACCAAAGGAGCTCAAGATTCAATCCTCAAAATAAGAAGGCGTAGTAGTCCTGTCTCTTGTTCCCTGTTCATTGGGATATGTTTCATGCTTCACAATTGTGTCTCCAAAACGATACCCATAGTTACACCTTGTAGAACAACAATAAAAAAATTATAAAAAAAAAAAAACAATAGACTGATGTTTGATTCAAAGATAAATAGCTAAAAGACAGGATGCAATCCTGTTCCTGTCCCAGAGTCCATTCCTTGGATAAGGAAGTAGGAGACCAGAAAAATGAAAGAACATAATTGTGCAAGTTAGACCTGCTAATAAATCAAATTATCAGTAATTCTTAAAGAATTATGCTGGCATATGCTACCACATTCAAAGAGATTGATTTAGAGAGAACAATGTCTGCTAAGTCATCTTTCATCTTCTCAAATCTTAATCTTCTTTGTAGTAAAAGTAAAATTTATTAAAAAGAAAAAGAAAGTACAAGAAAGGCAACCAGTAGTCACCCAAGAGAATAAGAAAACAAACTTCACTCCACCTCACTCAATCTAAACCCAAAACCAACCAAGACTTAAAACAAAACATATCTACCCCTAGTCCCCTATATTAGGATGCCCATGCTTCTGTATATGTTTATATATTTTTATTCTTGCATTTGTCTTTCTTGACAAGCAGGAAGTTACCTATATATGACCACAAAAAAGATGATATGAAAATGATAAATCAACTTCCTCACAAAATTTTGATTTTTCAGTTTGAAAGACATCCAAATTAAGAATCAACTTCACTAGTTTTGCTGAAAGCCAATACTTGTATCCACCTTAAAAGCAAGAGATTAGGCTGACTTCCAAGTCCATGTAACAATTTTTTTAGTCCTTGAATATCCACTCAATCACCATTATCATCCACCAATTGCATAATTTCTCTCACTAACCAACATGACCAAGGCCATATGTTTCCTCTAAGCTCATTTAGTGCTTATATTGATCTTGATAGAAACTGAGGCAAATATCACCCATTTTTACACCACAGACAACTTCTAGGATGACAAATAGAAGTACTTCTTAAGTGTTTCTTCATTTGACTCTCTTACTCTCACAAAGTAAACTCTACAGTCTACAAATTATCAATATAGTCCAAGACAAACCTCAGGCATCAAAAATATGTAAGTGCCGCAAAAGGTAGCACTTCCTAATGCTCGTTTATTAGAACAGTAACCATAAAGCTGTGTTTGGTTAGAAAGAAAAGGTAGTGAAAGTAAGGGAAACTTGTACCGCTAGCTTCAAACCAAACACAGCCTAAGGGGATCATCACTAGAAGTAGAACCTGTATCAAAGGGGCCATTTGGTAACAGCTGAAAATGGTTGAACTGAATAATTAACTGTTTTTTCTTTTAGCAAATAAATTAATTAAATGATAAAATATTTGAGAGAATATTTGTCAACCTAACTTCAGCTTTAGCCATTAAGGAGCTGACAGCCTCCTTAATAACTTATCCACTAAAACACAAAGTAGAAGCCATTCAGTTCAGCAATTTCAGCTGTTATCAAACAACCCCTAACACTACAACTTTTTAAGGTAGTCAATTCCTAGATTATGCAGGCTCCAAAGGAGAAGCTACACCTTATCTAGCACAAGCACAAATGTGGATTTTGTGTTGGATTCTTGCAATCCTGCCCCACCTAAGGCATCCTACTAGCAAAAGAAAGTATCCCTATTCCTCTGCTTTAAGAATAAGAAATTTCCAGAAAGAAAGGACAAAGGATAAATTATCCAACATACAGGACCTTAAAATATGGATAGCTCAAGCATAATGAATCATTTACAAGATTCTTTTATTGGGCATCAAAGAAGTGCAAAGAAAAGCAAAGTGCTAAAACTTAGGATGCATAGGATAGAAGCCTCATGAATTTCAGTTTCCCCCCTAGAAGAATGGATCAAATGAAGCAAAAGTATAGGAAAGTTGAAACAAATGGAGGAGTTCTTTAAAATTCACCTTTCCATTTATTTCCAAATGGAAACTAGAGGCGTTTAGTCATCTATTTTGATGAAAAAGTGATAAAATTAACCAATTTCAATCCTAACAAAAAAAAATACCTGAAATAATTCATAGAGAAAAACTACACTCCATGCAATATCTACAAAGTACAAACATTTTAGAACCGATTAGATTAACTCTCAATGTGAAGCAAAACCCCTAGAAGATTAAAAGAACTTCAAAAGGACTTAGAAACCTATGAGGCATTAAATCCAAAAGTTCAAGTTTTAGCTTAGACCCAAGGAAAAAATAGAAACTCCTGATCACATAACAATTACTAATACAAAAACCTAATTCTCAATTTATCTATATTACATCTTTAAGGCACCACAAGGTGTGAAGCACCTTGAGGCTGTGAGCATAAAAGGTTGAGCATTGCTTTGAAACATAATCCCTGATTTCCTTTTATAATAATGCTCTAAACAGCCATAAGAAAACTGCCAATATGCCCAAAACCTCAATAGAACTAAATATACCTCATTAAACTAATTAAGCTTTGGACTTGTATATTGGGATTTCTGTGAAAATGAATAACAATGTCATCATAAATATGTTGTCAAACTACATACTCAAGAACCTCCGAGCCATCGTTCTGTTCAACTTTCAGGAAAAAGATGACTGAGGTTACAAAGCTTAGATGATACACATATATCAAAGAATACCAGCAGCCCCATTCAACCTTTAATCCATCAAAATCAACTATTGTGTAGACTAAATTCTGGTTAGTGTATATAAGCCAATCCACCTACATAACTCAATTTCTAAAGAAATGAAATACGAATGAAATAGTAATAGTGAAATAATAAACAAAAACCAAAAATAATGAAAAGAAACACGAGGACATTCACTGAAGACCAAAGATATCAGATTAAGAAAAAACAAGAGTTTGCATAAAATATAGAATAAGAAAAATAAAAGTAACCAAGTGAAACATCAAACAACGCTTGGAGAAAAAGTTTCTTATACATACAAATACCAAAGATAGGGATCAAACTCCTGGGTTTGCAGTACAAAGCATACCCTGAGACAACGACCTCGAACTCCTCGAGTCAATGCCGAGGCAAGAAGTCAGACGCGCCGAAGAAACAGCACTGTAGAGGGGAAGGAGAGATTGAATGCAACCCATCTCAGAATGCAACCTGAAAAAAAAAAGGGAAAATTCCCGATCAGTATCCTGTATTTTGCCTTGAGTGACACTTTGGTCCCGGTCAATCTCCACAAGATTGACGAAAATTCAAATGAAAGTTTGAGAAGAATTAAGGAATTGCCTCAGAGTAGTAGGAGATGGGCGGGGAATGCGCATCGAATTAATAGGCTTGCTGGTAGGTTTGCCGAAGGCCGATTTCATAAAGCTGAGAGCAGGTTTTGAGATAGATCGATAACGAGATGCCATGAGTATGGACTGTAGATATAAATATATCTTGAAGATCAAGGAACAACGTCGAAAGGGTTTTAGAGGTTTGCGTTTGCTTATAAGAATCTATCTTTTTGGCTTCCGCTACCAAAATTTCCCGAGCCCGCCAAGTGAGAGAGAATTAATGCTAAAAACATTCCTTTGTAGCGTACCACTTACAAAATGCCTCTTCTACCACACAACTGGAATATTGTCTGTGGCCACGTTAGATATGTGTGGCCTACGTTCAACTTGTAAATGCACCCGCATGCGTAATTATACCTGTTCACGGGCCGGGTTCAGACCGGGCTTTGCCTCTACAGAATATCTTCAGACCCTAGTCCGAGCCCGGCCCAACCATCGGCCCTAGGTCTTGAGCCCGAGCCCAGGCCTCATATAAAGTTCAAAGCTCGGGCCCAAACCCAAAATCAGTTAGAAATTTGGAAAAAAAAAAGATTTTTTCCTTTTTAATTCAATTAAAAGTTGATTTATTTATACTAAAATACCTCAAAACCTAAAAAAATAATGAAAAGTCTTATTATTACTTGAAAAAAAAAGAGAAGAAAAATGTATTATATATATATGCATTTTTATTATATAAAATATATTTTTATTAATATGATACGTTATCAAGTCGAGCTCAGGCTCGGGCAGGGCTTTTTTGAGAAATCCTGAGCCCAACCCAAAAAAAAGGTCGGGCCCGATATTTTAGGTTCAAGCCCGAAACCGTAAGCCTAAAATCTTGCCCAAGCCTAACTTACATCAGACCGTGCGGGCCAGCCCATCGGGCTACCCAGCCCATGAATAGGTCTATGCGTAATTATAAGGATAAAATACAAAAACTTCCCCAGGAGTTTCTGATAATCATAAAAACCTTCCCTATAGTTTCACTTTAGCACAAACCTCCTCTCTATTTTCAAAAAAATCAATAAATACCTTTCTTCCATAAATGATCAAGACGGATATCGTGTAAAATTACATTTTTACCCTTAGACGTCATTCATCTAACCTATTTGAAAAAATACTGTATTTGATCATTTATCTCTCGTCTCGTCTTTTCCATCCCTTTTGATGCCTCCTCTACCCCATCTCCCTCTACTACCATGGCTACTATCTCATCACTTCTCTAGTTCTCTCCTTCTCTCTCATGTCTTGACCCTCATGATTTAACTCCAAAGTTTAAAGCCCATACTTCCAATTCTACATCAGCCAAAGGGAAACAGAAAAAAAAAATGTGGGTTTAGTGGTGAACTATTATCTTTGTCTTCTTCATAAGAGAAGAAGTTGCAACAACAAGAGATATGCTGGTTAGGAGATGAAGGAAAGGCAGCGTTGGCAACCCGAAGAAGACAAACTCCTTCATGCCTACGTTAAACAATATGGACCAAAGGAATGTTACCTCATCTCTCAATGCATGGGCAAACCCCTGGACCGAGACGCCAAATCCTGTCTCTCGAGCGGTGGAAGAGCTATCTCAAACCTGGTATCAAGAAAGGCTCCTTGACCCCAAAAGAACAGAACCTCGTCATTTCTCTCAAAGACAAGTACAACAACAAGTGGAAGAAAATCACCTTCGCAATCCCCGGTTGCACCACCAAGTCCCTTAGCAAGTGGTGGGAAGTCTTCAAGAAGAAACAGCTCAAGCTGTAACAACAACAGCAATAGAAAACCCAATAGCAGCAACGTCTCCTACCCTCGGACAACCCTAACCCATCAACACCCTCGCCAACCCCACCACCCACCACCACTCCTAAACGCACTCTACATGGCCAATACGACCACATTCTAGAAACCTTTGCAGAAAAGTACGTTCAAACCAAGCTCCTCAAGCTCCAGTAAAAAAGTACAACCACATTCTTGATGCCTAGTCATCTCCCACTCACCGGACGACAACCGTGGTCTATTTTTTCTAGCAAATTACCTATTTAGGATTGTTTTGAAACAGAAAAAATCTAGATTTCCTTTCGAAGAACTAAAAGTTCACCTTCCATTTGCATTCTACATTCTTATTTCTTCTACTATTTTTTCCTTCTACCTATTTCGGTTTCAAGGTTGTTTGTTGATGACTACATTTTCAGTGATGTTCTCATGCTTCATCTTGAAACAATGGCATGGAACATCCTTGTAACTACTAGTCAACAGCCTCGTACAAAAGACAACCATAGTGCAGTACTCGTGGGGCTAGGATGATAGTTTTAGAGGTACCAATGGCTCCAAGAAGGTAAATGACCTTCGTATATTAGATCTTAGAACAGAAGAATGCACCCAACCCAAATGTGAAGAGACCCCACCTTCCCCTCGTGAGAGTCATACTACTACAGTCATTGGCGATGACAGACTTGTGATCTTTGGAGGTAGTGGAGAAGGGGAAATTAAGTTCGTTCTTCCTGGGTTCATTCCTCTTCAGTTCTATTCAAATAGAAAAAAGGTGAAGCTGGGATAAGAAGAGAGGTCAAAGAGTATATAATATATAGACATGGTATTTTAGTAAAAAAATTGTACATTAAGTTGTAAAAGGGTAAAATAGGTATTTTGAAAAAAAGACGATCGGCTAAACATTTTCCGTCATGGTCATTGACGGAAGGGAGATATTTGTTGATTTTTTCAAAAAATAGAAGGGAGATTTTTGTTGAAGTGAAACTATAGGGGAGGTTTTTAAGATTGCCAGAAACTTCATGGGAGGTTTTTGCATTTTACCCTAACTATAAATGCAAACCGCTAATAGATAAGTAAATAACTAGCAAAAGCAGAAACATACCTATTTAGAGCAAGATTTAGCTAAACGCTTTAGTTGTTCAACGGGCTATGGAATCAATGATAGGGTTCGACACCAGTATTTAAATATATGAGGCCCACATTTTTTTTTTATAGTGGGGCTCATGAATTTATTACTGGCGTGAAACCTCATCATTGGTTCCACAACTCGCTAAAGGGCTAAAACATTCAATTAATCTGAATTCACCTATATGGGCTAGGTAGTCAGATTTGGACTCGGGTTTTTAGATAAGCCAAATCGTAATACTATAAATGGTGTGTATATATATATATATATTAATAACAACTAACAGGGTATTGAGTATTAGGTAATAATTTGAATTAGCATTCAAGTAACTTATGTAAACCATTCAGCCCTAACCTTTTTCCTATTTCTCTTTCCATTTTCCATCTTTTGTATTTTATTTGAATACTTTGTGTGTTTTGTCTTTTGTATTTTATCAGAGATTTCTTTTGTTTGAATTTGGGTGTATAATTGTATCGACAGTAATATTTTTTTAGGCTCTATTTGGAATAAGTATAAATACAAATATGTAGAACGCAAAACCTTATGTTTTGTATTATTTTGTATTTGTATGTATTATGTGCAAAATGTATGATTTGATAGAAACAAATTAAAAAATATAGAATTAGAGGATGAAAAAAGTTAAAATATTGCATAATCTACATTGGGTTTCGAATTTTGTATTTAGGGGTTTAACTCGAATTGGCCCAAATTACATTTTACATTGCTTTGGGTTCGAGCTTCAGGTTGAAGCCATTAAATTTTTGTCAAACTACCAAACCAAGCCTGTCAGTCCGGGCTGGGTCTAAACATTTTCTATTAATAAGCGGTAAAACCCGCCCCATGAATACGTATCCAATGCAAATCATGTAAGCAAGTCAGATCAGTTCATGTATCTAGGTCCAACCTTAGGTTGTTAAAATTCGAAGTTGAATTTGAATCACATATTAACCATGAAATTTAAATCGGACTCCCATCAAAATCAAATATTCAATGTTAATAAATGAAATTAAGAATGGCCAGAGCGTTATAAATTTTTAATAAAATAAATATAATGTAAAATATGGCTCTTTGGAAAAACGTCCAACATTAAAATAAAGTAAAAACCATACTATATTCCACCTTGAAATTCTAAATTCTACTGCAGATCTATAACAATTCAAAATTTTAAATACCCCCATCTATAACACCAATACCCTCTCGTATATTGGCATCAATTCCGAATTGGCACCTACCCCAACTGTATGGTGGAGTTAAGATTTATTGGGATGGACTGAACAATAAAAACCCCTAAAATAAAATATATACACACATGAATCTTATACAAATGTAAGCATTTTTTCTACATAAAATTAAATTTTATATTTACCAAAAAAAAAGATGTAAGCATAAATTTAAAGGTTTAGGTATTATCTTTTTTTTTTTTGAAAATCAAAGTTTAAGTATTATCATATTATGGACCAGGAATTATTTGATATACATATTTGATCCAATTAGATGCACACTCATATTGCAGCTTTTTTAAGTCATATGAAATTCAAATTGGATTTGCTCAAATGGATACTATTTACAGACCTCGAAAAAAGGACCCCTGCATCTTTATTATTGGTCAAAAACCATTTCTCTGTCATTTATTCTAAGAATTATATTTATCCAATAGTCCAATTATGCTGTATTGTGAAATTTTTGTAATACATTATATCAAAATTTCAACCAAATAATTGAAATATAACATATAGTTTACTTATTTTTTATTGATTCGCATTTTATAAGGTATACTTTTATATTGATTCATGTTTTATAAGATATATTTTTATGTTTTAAAAGACATACTTAACATTACTTACTTTAACAATGTTAAAAATGTCACTACAATGTGACACTTTATCAATGCTTTATTCGTGTTTGAGTTATGTTGTGACACATTCATATGGTGCTTAAGCCGTTAGAATGAGATCTATGTATAGGATTTTACTCTATAATAGCTTCATATGGAGAGTCCGGAAGCCATTTTTGGAGAAAAACCCAAAAGGCCCCAATATGCTTTTTCATCTAGTCATGAAGTCGACTTTCTAGTGTGTAAACTAGTGGATTTGGCATTTATAATCTAACTCGAGATTTGAGGAGAATGGCTATGAAAATAATTTCGTGATTGCAAAGGAAGAAAAAGATAGTGAGAAAAAAGGAGAGAGGGAAAATGAGGAGAGGGAGAATATGGGTCTCGCTCCTCCTAGTGGGTTTAATAAATGTGTTGTTAATGGATCTCCATGACTATTATATAAGGCCCCTATTTATAATTTTCACAATGGAAGAAAATAACTTTTATCACTCTTATCCCTAAATGTGATAACCTTAAGGGGGTTAATAACTATAGTCCTATTAGCCTTTGCAATGTGTTATAAAATTATTTCCAAAATTCTGATTAATCGTATTATTTGATGATTTAGTTTCTTCATTCCAGAGTGCCTTTATTCCCAACAAGCAAATCAGTGATACCATCCTCATTGCTAAAGCATCTGGGCCTCTTGATAAGTTTGCTAAGGCCTCTGGGCTACTTCCTAATTATGCTAAATTGGCCATAAAATTTTCCAAAAAATATTTCATATATACACCAAAAAATCATGTCCAAAATTCTAAAAATTCCCCTCAAGGGAAAAACCAAAATTTATCTTGGTGCCTCCATTACTGAAGGGATGGTGTCTAAGGAGGTGTTTAACTCTCTCAGTGAGAAACTAGCCAAGAAGTTTGCGGGTTGGGAAAAGAAAACTCCATTTTCTCTTGTTGGCAATCTCACACGAATTAATGATGCTGCCTCCATGGTTCCCCGGTTTGTCATGCAATCTTTCAAGATTCCTAATAATATCATCAATGAGTTAGAGAAATCCCAAAGGGATTTTATTTGATGGAATTCAAGGAGCTAAAACCCCCACCCACCTTGTTAACTGGAAGAGAGACTGTATGGCTGAAGCCTGGGATGGGTTTGGGGTAAGAAACCTGAAATGGATTAACAAGGCTCTATTAGCTAAACTGGGTTGGAAAGTCATTACTTGCAATTAACGTATAGGTGAAGGTGGTTAGTCGTAAATATTTAAGTAACCATAATTTTGGGATATTGATCCAAAGAGTGGAATTTCTTAGGTGTGGAGAGGTGTCCTGGCTTATAGGGACCTCATTAAGATGTGCTCTAATTGGAGAATTGGTGATGAAAAGATGCTTGAGCTGGAAACTCTTCAATTTTGGATGATGTGAATCCAGATTCTATATATAATATTGATATGAAGGTGTAATTGACCAAGACAGGAGAGTATGGAAGGAGGATTTCATTAAGGCTATTACTCCCTCACTAATTTTGATTGCATTTATGGATATGGAGGACGGAATTGCTTGGAAATTCACATTAGACGGTAGGTATTTTTTTGGTTAAAACTGCATATAGTGAGAAATGCATATCTAATGGGGTGATTTAATATCTAATGGTGTCGGGTGCCCCAAAAAATTTATGGAATTGTAAGGTCCCCCCAAAAATTAAAGTTTTTCTCTTTCTCATGTTTAATGATAAGCTGCCCACAAAAAATAAACTAATCGCAAGAGAACCTAACATAAACCCGGCTTGTGCTCTTTGTGGTGAGGATGAGAACGTTGATCACATATTCATTAAGTATGAATTTTATAACTAAATTTATAGACTTATGAATTTGAGTATCCTAGTGCCTTCCATCAATGATTCTTCTATTGGTGGTTCAGAATTACTAATCGTCGTTTCTCCTTGAATGATCATTTTTTTAGAGAGATACTTGCTTGTATCCTATGGTTCATTTGGAAGAACAGAAATGATAAATGTTTTAATGATAAATTGAGTAATCCTCAGTCCATTATTGAAAGAGCTAGTGGTTAATGGAAGGAGAGAAAGGATAATATTCTAAGTGAAAACCTTTCAAATAACAAGGTCTGGAATCTTATTGGGTGGTGCCCTAAGCCTAGTAGCATCAAAATAAAATTTGATGCTTCCTGTAGGAATGAATGCATCTATTCTATTGGTTGTATCAAACAAGCAGGAATCATAAGGGGGATGTCCTTGTGACCAAAGCTTATAACATTGGGTATACAACCATAAATCTTGCAGAAGCGTGGACGGTATGGGAAGCTATCAACATTGCTATTAACTCCAAGGACCAGCCAATCATCATCAAAGGATATTTGAAGCTTGTCATCGATTGTCTTAGAGGAAGAGTGAAACCCTCATGGAGATTGGATTGCATCATAAGAGGAATGCCTCAACCTCTCAGCCATGTTCAACTTGAAGATTTGCTTTAGACATGCGTTTCATGAGGCGAATCAAGCTGCTAATTGGTTGGCTTGTAATGTACTTATTGATTTAATGGTTATCTCTAGATGGTGTTTGGTACCGATGTAGCTTTTTGAAGAAACAGTGTCAGCTCAGTATTGTAGATGCATTTAACAAAAAAAACCTAAAAAGTTATTTGTGTCGTTTATCTATTGAAAGTTGTGTGAACCATTTATAAAAAACACTAATTTTGATGTTTTTCATTTTTAAAACCGATTTTTTTTTTTACTGTTTGGCTTATATGGCACCTAATGGCGCCGATGTGTTAAAAAAACTGTACAAAACGTTTAAAGCATATTTTGTCTTGTTTTTCAAGACAAAATCGTAAAAAAGCTTATTTTATAAAGGCCATCAATACCAAACAACTCCCCACTTATTCTCATTTTGATTTAGTTCTCATTTGTCTTGCTGATTCGTGGGGAAGAGCTACCCCCTCCCCGGTCTTGTGTAGCTCTTCAATGTTTCTATAAAAAAAAGCCCATTATCTATAATGATTTTGGGCTTCCTAAATTCTAGAATATTCTTGAATTTTGTCATTGTCTATTTTACCCTTTAATTGTTATTTTAGAAAGTTATAACACTTAAATTGATGCGAGTAGCTATATTTAAATGAACAGTTGGCTTAGATTGACCCGGGTTTATGCCTAATTAACTAAGTTAATGTATTTATATAAAAACAGCTCAATCAAAGCCGAAGCCCTCCCAGCTCTTTGGTTATTATATATTTAAAAGCAACTGTACCAGATGCTCAAAACAAGCTTTATCAGTTTTGTGTATGGTACGGTGGGGTTGCAACGACCGTAACGAGCAGGAGCAGTAAAGCAGTAAACTAAACGGTCTCAACAATTCGGCCAAAATCTAGGCAGTCGCCGGCTTAAAGAACAATTAATACAAGTTAAGCGGAGAATTGAGATCACCGGATTGAGAACGGCTTTGGGTTGTTGACGTGCCCGCACATACATCCACAAAAAAAATCGGGTAGAGAAAGCTCGTGGAGTGCACAATAGCAGCAATAAGCACGGGATCTCAATGAGTATCACTACTTCTTTCTCTCAGTTAAGTCAAGCTGTCAAACAGATAAGTGAAGCCGTGAATCAAAATAAGAAAGTTGAAAAGTTAAAAAGGTTTTATTCTCCTGACTATAAATTAGTTTACAGGAGAGGATATTACAATGTTATTATAGTTGGCGACGATCCATTCTGCAATATCTACATTGGTAGTCTCAAACATACTGGTTTATTCATGGCTCACCCTTCTTTCTTCATTGAAATGGAGCCCAGGACCTTGAGTGAAGGAGAACTGAAAGATGTCAGGGTAATATCTCTAACGCTTGCTCTCTTTTCTTTGAGATGTTTCTTGGATCAAGTTATCGACAGGCCTGAAGTTGGAACATATTTTACTAGCACAGACAGATTTTGGTAGCAGTGTTGGGAACAAGCAACCACCCTGTTAAGTTTCTGGGTTATTCTCCATTGTATTTAGATTAAGTTGTAACAACTCATTTACGTTTTCTTTTGAAGGTAGCAGCAGTGGATATAATTAAAAAATTGGAAGCTAAGAAAGCTACAGATGTATTCATTGAGGTCTGCTCTGTTCTAGATGCAATACTGTGATTTCTAAACGTCTCTACCATTTTCTAAGAGCTGCTTATGCTTGTGTAGGGACTGAGTCCAGTGGTTTCAATAAAAGATATGGAAAAGTTGGTCAAGAGGAGAGATGAACTTCATAAGCTTGAAAAGTGCGAGGAAGTTGCTCAGGTCACTGATTGCTCATGCACTTCTGTCAATGTAGATGAATCCCCTGATAAAGCTAAACTTAGGGAGCCCCTTTCAGCTCCTTTTTGAAGCTTTCTGATATAGAGGTAACTTGGTTACAAACATCTGACAACTTCCTCCACTCTCCCCCCCCCCCTTTGAAGTATGATGGATCCTCTCTACAGCACATTGCATCTTTAGGCTTCAGTGCCAAACTGCCAATTCCCTGTGTCATTTTCTGGTAGGTAGTAGCAGCAACCAATGTTTAGGATGTAAAACTATATTTACTTCATCTATTTGCCACATGTATTTAACTGTTAAAAATAAGTGCAAGCATTGCTAACATGTAAGTTTCATTCAATGTATCCAAATTGTACCTGTTGGAGCATGGTGGGAGAAAGAAAACAAAAACTCTGCCATGAGAAACACAAATAACTTATGACTTACCAAACTAGAGAATGTTATTGTTCCTCTTTGTTTTCTTATCCATTACTCATCTTTACATCCATAACCTGAATGTTATTTTTGTAATTTCTACTGATAACATTACCTGAATACTCGTATGCCGTATCACCATCCATTCTCACTCCATCCAATTCAATTTAATTGGATCAAAATAAGACAAAAAGGACAGTTTTTAAAGCAAAACTTTTCAGAAACAAGATAAAGGCTAGTTATTCAGACATTTACATTCTTAATATCAAGGCAAGGAGTAAAAACAGTATATCATGCCAGAGGGTTACATTGACAGATATTGTGAAAACAAATAGTAAGTAGCATACCTGGTCTAATAGCAAGAGCTGTCCTTGACCCAGTCAAAAACCCGCTGCTATAAAAAACATCTCTCAACTTGTCGAGTGCAAGTACTTTTTCCAAGAAAAGTGCACTATTAATTCATTCAGTTTCAGTATATTATTATCTTCATTAAAAAATGGGTAGTCCAATCACTTCGGATTAATCCATTTCAATACACAGGTGTCAATAATGCTAGAGAGCTTATTACATTACCTTGTTGAGACTACCAAGGTTATCAAATTTGGGAGTCATGGTCAAAGACTCAAGGTAGAACATGGTATATACTGGTTAGTTTAATTTCTGTAACAGTTGACTAAGAAGAGCTTTTAGCTTTTAGAAATTTAGGCTAATTTAGGACGTGTGGAACCCATTTTGAGTAGGATAGATTTGTTGATTTCCCAGCAAGTAGTTTCTTTTTTCTATTGTTAAATTTCAACTTTACTTTGGTAAGTCATTGTCAAAGTAGAGCATAGTATATAGTGGTTTAGTTTAATTTCTGTAACAGTTGACTAAAAAAGTAAGAAGAGGGTTTAGCTTTTAGAAATTTAGGCTAGTTTATTTCAAGCTAAAGAATGAGTAGATGTTTTGTAAGCATCTGATTTTAGAATGCATTTCATTCTAGCAAGTCATAATCACTAGAAGCAGTGACTACTTGGAATGTAGAACAAGTGCCAAGCATTGAGATGTCCCAAGTGTTTGGCACATCAACCTCCAAAAATCACAGCATTTAGATAAGGATTTAAACGATGTTGGCATAATAATTATAAGAATAAGATTTTGATGATATAAATTGGAAAATCGAAGTGTTGAAACCTTATTCAATGGTGCTGTTTCCAGCTTCTCATGAGGCCTCACCTAATAGTTCTAAGCTATATTGCATGGACAGTTCAAAATATCAGTGTTGTGCCTCTGTCAGGCATTCCAATATTTAGTGTAAATTCCCTTTTCAATACCTGTCCATGCTGTTTTTTCTGTAAATAACTTTTATTGTAAATTCAATGCGCCAGATATGGCTGCAAATAAGAACAAGAATTTAAAGATAGAAATTGAAAATTTGAAGTGTTGGAGCCTTATAGGATGGCATCACTTCAAAATTGGTGTTGCGCCTATGCAATATACTCCAACTTCTAGAATAAATCCATGTCAAATAGATGTCCATGATGTTAACATTTTATATCAATTGCAGCTTGGAGAATCATAAGAACACCGTAAATGTTGTGTTCATTCCAGATACAAAGTCTCAATGACAGTTAAGTACACTAATTTTCAGGTGGCTGTGGTAAATCTGATTAGAAGTATGTAATGGCCACTTTTCAATAGAATAAATTGGATTTCAAAGCTTCTGCATATTTTGAAAAATTGTGACATCTGTTATGGTGCTATGGCTCTTTAATATTGTCACTCTGGGTGTGGCGTCTCTTCTTAGCAGTGCAATTACTTCCTTTCTAGATATTGTCTCTGACTCCCACTTTCTCTGCACTTTCTGGTGCATGATATTTGGTGTGTATGCATGTTTGTATATAAGGGGGTAAGGCACACTAAGAGGTGTGCCAACCTACTAGGGAAAAAGATGCTGAGGGGATTCAATCCTAATCTCTCTGACTTTTTGAGTAATTTTCTGTTTTAGAGGTATTTTGGTAATTCTACTTAAGGTCAGTAGGGCATACCCTGATATTTAGGCTATTTGGGTCTTATCTAAGGTTTTTAAAAACTTCAAAATCATAGGATCAATAGAATATGAGGAATTATGTTTTTTGGGGTGAAGTTTCCAGTGGCATTTCTATAATTTGGGTGGACAATAGCCCCAACCCCATTCTTTTATTAGTGATAACAGATTAGTTTATTAATTATATGTAAAAAAAATGTGTATGTACATTATACCAAGGCACCCCAATTTATAAACTAGATTTCGCTACTTATTCCTTTGAGATCAAAGATCTTTTAATAACTGACCCAGTCCCAGGACATATTAACTCTTTCAGCCCTCTGTTTCACCATTACATCACCCATGAGAAAGTGATTATAATATCCTTATCCAGATGTCTTATTACCTGATCCCTATTAAATATGTCTTGAATGCTATATTTTAAATAATGGATAGAAAGTTTTTCTTTTGAATAATGTAATTCTTCCTCGTGTGTTTCTTCTCAATGTAAACCTCCATTTACTCTTTTTTCCTCTTTTTCCATATTCTCCATTCCTTCCTAGTTCTCTATTGCATGTTTGTTCAAGATCTTCTGATCAATAGATCTTACAGCTCTCTCTCAGGCTTCAAGTCATTCCTTAAGACCTTTTGAATATCCCAAATAAGCTCTCCCC